TGTGTTTTCTAATGCATTCTGTCAATCTGCCTTTTGAGTGGGAAGCTTAATTCATTCACAATAAAGTAATTGTTGACAAGGAAGAACTTACTATTTTCTGCTAATCATTTTCTCTGTCTTAAAGCTTTTTTGGCTCCTCATTTCTTTCCAATAAGCATATATTAGTCTTTAAATAAGTCTGAGAACAAATGAGGGAAGAGTAAGAAAGTAACTGGTGGGGGTCAGGCATGTGGAGTTCATGGATTATTTTAAACAGGAAAAAATTTAAGCACACACATACACTGATTGAGATGATTGAAAATGAGAGAGAACAAAGATACAGGAAAAAGAGGGGGTAATACTGATAAGGGGGGGATATGCTTAGTCCATTATAAAAGGAAAAAGGATAAAAGTGAATGCTGAACTCCCCTAGGGGAGTTCCCTAATTCTGCATCTGCTGGTTTTCAGATTAATCCACAATAGAGTAGAAACAGTCGATCAAAAAGAAAAGAGCTGCTACAGGCAAGTGAACAGTAAGAAGTGAAAATTACTACTGAGTAGTGATTTTCATACCAGAAAGGAAAAAAAATCTTCGGCAATTTGGCACTTATCTAGTAAAATCTAAAATGTATTTACTGTTTAACTAAACAATTCAATTTCTGTGAATTTATCTTCTAGAAATAACTGCAAAAAAATTCACCAATATACTGTTTGTAACTACAAAAAAAGAGGAATACAACATAGAACTAGCTAAATGAATTAAAAATACATCTATACAACAAAGCGATATATAACCATCAAGACTAGGGGGAAAAGATTAAAATACATATATATATATGACCATGGAAAGAAATACATTATTTCATATTGACTTCTTTTGTTCTGTGACAAAATATTATTTTCAATGGAAAAAGTAAACTATAAAACAGTTTTAACGGGTTTAAAACAGTATTTTTCAGTTTTTATAGCATGATCCTATTTTTTTGTGTGTATATGTTAATATATGAAGAAAGGCAAATACCAAAGTGTTAACAATAGCTTTCTTACATTTTCTATCTTCTATAATTTGAATAATGTAGATAATTATAAAACTTCAAATATCAGAAAAAAAAACAATTAAATATGAAAATAATCAAATATTTTACCTGTTAGATAAAATACAGAGTTCTTTTAAACTTGGAGCCAAGGAATGGTCTTTATAATTTTCTCGAGAGAAAAATGTCTTATGGCCATTTTTGGGGGAAACATCCCTAGAAACAAAGTAATTTACTTTCATTTGACAATTCAAAATCTCATGTTAGACAAAGAAACATAATAGTATCTAATTTCTGACTATATGCCCTCTATCCAAACCCTTTCCCAATCACCTCTTAATATTTAATTTCATATACCAGATCTGTGAGCTTAGATGTTTTACTTTTTAGACACCAAGCTCAGGTGGATTATGATATTCTATAACTCCAACAATCAACCTTTCTTTTTCTATAGTACCCAATTAAATAACTGTCAGAGGTTTGAGAGTTAAAGATAGAACAGAATGAAGTACAATCAAGAGTCTGTCATGGGCAGGACTCATCTCTGGTTGTGAGGCATAACATTAAGATGCTTGATTATTGAAAAAAAAATGCTTCTCAATTTATTTTTGTTTCATGCATTACTGTTCTAGTCCAAAAGACTGAACATCCAACCTATTTTTCTGAAACTGGAAAATGGGATAAATGGTGTGCCTTTGCTAAAAATCACCTCTATAATAATATATGATTTTTCATAACATTGTAATTAATTGAGGCTAATACAACATAACCAATGCTTTCCAGATAGTAAGCTTTCCCCCAAATGATGGCAAGTGAAGTTAAAAAACTGAAAACACGGAGAATCCAAGGAGTACAATGATTACTAGGATTTTGTGAAAAAGGACAGTTCCAAAGCCTATAATACTGTGCAAAGGTTCTAAACCACAATTGGTTTCGAGTCAGTTGCATATATGAATAACTGCACATCATCTGAACACTTACTTTACAATATTAGCCAGGAACACAAGTGTGCATGTCACTTAAAACCTACAACAAAACACTCCAATCAAATGCAACTTCTAGTCCCATTTCCAAATGGGAAATCCTAGCACATATGGTTCATGTTTATCTTTTACTATTTTAAAGGTATTTACCCAAAAAAGAGAAAAAATAAAACAAACACTATGATTAAGGTATTATATAGTAAAATCAGAATTTCTTACTTGCTATGGACCATGGTAAAGTTTCCTATTATTTCAGCATGGTAATATTTCCATAACATCTCATTAAATTCTAAGGTTTCCTCATATAATTCTAAAACAAAGTCAAGGGCCTCAGTATTATGGAATTCTTTGGAGATGCAAACACTGTTCATTACTGAACATACTGACTTAAAAGTTCTTTAAGTCAGGCACTATTTTAAAAATCTTTGTCATCTCTTTGTGACTTTTGTATCCTCCTTTGCTGGCTTAGTAAATGTGTGTTAAAATGAACTAAGGCAGCGATGTAGTATAGCAATATGATAGTTACATAAAACCACTATATTTGTTAGATGCCTACAAAACCATGATATTACTTAACTGGGTTCTCTATTAGCAAAGTTCTCACATTTCTAAAATACAGAATACAGTCTGCATTTATATAATCTTTTGAGATAGATTCTACTATAACAAAAAGAAGTGTGTCTATTCTTAAAGATGGTCTTTTTATTATTTGCATAGAAATGGGAAAGTTTTTAGAACTAAGAAAATTCCAGCATCTCTCCTTCACAACATACCAACAATAAAGACATGATGGAATTATATCTAATAAAAATTTGAGTGCTGAATTGTCACTTTAGGAGTGGAAGTGCAGTAATTATACCTCAAAAATATTTATTACATGAAGATGAGAACAGGATAAATTCTGAGATCCTGATCTTTCCTCTTTTATTTCTTCCAAACCTGTTTGGGCCAAAAGCTCTCCTTTCCTATGTCAACCACCAGCTGGACTTCACTCCTATTCAGTTGATTAGGTAGAGAGAGAACTCACCAGTTTAGCCTTGGTTCACTCATGGTCATGCTGGAGCTCATCTTCCTAGATTTCTGCTCCACTCTAGCCCACGATTTGGCAGGTGGGAAGTAAGGTTTTCAAGAGGTAGGATCCCTCCAGATTCTACACTCAACCGAGGAAAAACAAAAGGTCAAAATCAAAAGCAAGGGATTGGCCAAGGCCCAGCTGCACTTTATTAGGTGAGAAAGAACATATGCCCTAAAATGACAGTGGCCACCTAGAACAGACAGATGAACGTTCCCAAGGTTCTTTGCATCAGAGCAGTACAATAAGTCCTTTTCCATTTAACTTATGCCAGGAGGGTCAGTCTTAGGATACTCACTGAGGAAATAAGAGCCAAAACAGAATGGTGTTCTCACTGCTTACACACTAGATCATTTCATGGAAGGGAGATGTAGGTCTTAGCTCTGCCTAATTCCCTTACTGCCAAAATGAATCCTGCTTCCATTTCCCCAATCATATACTATTACGGGGCATATTCTGACAAATGCATGGCAAAAGCTGCCTAGCTATCAAGAAATCTAGATCTTTCAAAGAAAACCTTACATTTTTGATGAAACTCAGGTTCAGGAAACTTAAAGTGACAATTCACAGGATCACTCACAGGTATTATCAGGCCTCAAAATTGGGCTTGACCTCTCCATGTTACCATGGGTAGGCTGATAAAATGGCATAGGGGGTAAAAGTCAAATTTAGGAATCTGTATCTTGGCCCCTGACGGGCCTGACCAGCTCCCACTTAATGCACCTTTCATACTTAGATCAGGGTGGGGCTGGGGAGAACGTGCAGATGAAGGCAAAAGGTATGTCTGAGAGAAAAGAGAGCGCAGAAAGAAAAGCAAGTTGCAGGAAGGCAGGTAAAGGAGTGGGCAGAGCAGGATAAGAAGCCGCGCCAGAACCGGGAGCTGAGAGCCCGGAGCCGCCATATTCTTTCCTCCCGCCCCTCAAGAGCGCTCCCGGCGCCTTCCCTGCCGCTTCTGGACTGCAAAGCAGCCTTTCCGCCCACCTCACGGTCCGCGGCGGCTCGGCCCCAGCGCGGGCCCCACGCCACACTCGCTCCGCCCCACTCCGCACACTCACGCGCGTCCTGAGAAGGCTAATTTAAAGGACGTGGCCGCGCAGACTTGGCTCTGCGTGATGACGCCACCCGAGACGCAGTGGGTGGGGCCTGCGTGCCTACGGGGCACGGCTTGCCTGCGTGGGTCTTGCTGGTGGTTCTGGCTGCAAACCCCCCTGGTTCTTGAAGGGTAGAGGGGTTTGGGACTTATTATAGAAAGCCCTGATCTTGGTGTGTTTCTGTTGGGCTGGGCGCGGGGCGGGGGTATGGTGATAAATTGGAAAAAGCACAGATTTGATTGTGACCCTAGCCAAGCTCTTAATTTCCCTATAACCCTAATTACCCATCTGTAAAATGAAGATGATATTATGTACTTCATAGGGTTTTGGAAATGCCTAAATGGAGCAAGGGATGAAGTTGTGCTCAGCACAGTACCTGGCACAAAGCAGGGCTTCACTACATGCCATTTCTCCTCATTGCCGCTCCCTGTTCCATTTTGATGTAAGGTTCCTCTAATGGTCCCTTGGTTCTTAGTCTGCTTTTGTTCTCATGTTTTATGAAAGACTTATTAAGCACTTTATACAGCGTGCTTGGTGCTGGGTACACATGAGACTAAGCCTCAATATAATTTTTTCTAGAACTTTTGATCTCTGGGACTCTTAAGGTATTTACATTAAAATGAAACAATAGAAAATGATAAACTACACAAGAAAGTTGTTATGTTTTGGATCTTAACTCTTCTCCCAAAGACCCATATGTTAAAGGCTTGTTGGCCAGCCTGTCGCACTCTTAGGAGACAGTGCTTTCTTTATGAGGTAGGGTCTTGTTGAAGTTAAGTCATTGAGGGCCTGTCAATGAAGGAATATTGGGACCCTCAGCCCTTTTCTCTTTGCTTCTCTGCCACCATTCGGTGAACACCTTTGCTATTCTACTGTGCCATGATGTTCTGAGCAGTACATGATGTTCTGCCTTGCCAGGGTAAAAAGTCACCAGGGACTGAAAGCTGAGCCAAAATAAACCTTTTCTCCTTCAAATTGTTTATCTTAGGTATTTTATCACAGCAATACAAATCCAACACAAGAGGTAAATAGAAAACAGTTGGAGAGGGAGAGAAATTAACGTGAGTTGTGAAAAGCAGCTTGAACACAACCTTGGAGAGTTTTTAGCTTGATCACTACTTCATTCACTGAATTTCTTTATAAACCATACATAAGATGCTTGCAGAATGAGAATCCAGAAATGGTCCTTTGGCAAAAAGGTTTTAGTCTAGTAATTGATTAGAAAATTTGAGGAAATATTGTTGCTAATACCAGTTTGTCAAATCAAGATTGTCAGTAATGGTATTTCAGGTGGGTAAGGAGCCATCGTCAATCCTAAAACCCAGCAAAATACTCTGGCTCCGTGTTGGATTAGAATAGCTAAAGTGTTCAGATTGTTTTGCTTACAAGATTTTTTTTTTTGGTACCAGGGATTGAACCCAGAGGTGCTTAACCATTGAGTCGTAAGTGCTTAACCACTGAGTCATATCCCCAGCTCTTATTATTTTTTTTTTATGACAAGACAGGATCTCATTAAATTGCTTAGGACCTTGCTAAGTTGCTGAGGCTGGCTTTGAATTTGTGATTCTCCTGTCTCAGCCTCCTGAGAGGCTGGGATTACAGGTGTGTACCATGGCTTCTGGCAAAAGATAATATTCTCTAAAATATATTTTGGTATGTTTTGTATTATATAGTGCTTGGGCTTAAAAAAAAAGGCGCAGCTATAATTATTCATGTGAAAGCTGAGCTTTTATAAGGAATACTTAGTATCCCAAAAAAGAAAGGGCAATGATAGCAGAGATAATTCCAAATAATTTAAAAGTTATGTATATTTGTCTTTAGGATGTGGTATGCATTTTACTTGGGTAAAAAGACAAGGGTAGAAGTGGTGGCCATGGGACTCGGTAGGAGATCACTTTGTTAGTTTGGGGTGAGGCTAAAATTAAAATGAATTGTGCATGAACCATAGAACAATTGATAGATGAAGCAACTTCTTCTCCACAAAGGGGAAGTTATATGAAATTTAAGATATTTGAGAAGTCCACCAACAAAAATGATAAAATATTTGATGATTGCTGAGAGATTACTATGTTTTACTAGTATATTTTTCCTCCCAAGGATAAAAAGTTCCAGAGTCTTGCAAAAAGACTAGATTGTTAACTCTTTCCAATATTAGAATTAAATGGCATTAGGGAAAAACAGGATTTTTCTTAGCTCACATCTGGAGATATGGTGAAAGATCAGCATTCTTGTTAGTCTCCTAGGATGAGGTTTCTGCCACTGTTTAGAGGTGGAGGCAGGGGACAGTGGCTGTAGATGCCATTAGTGTGATTCTTCTGGGAATCGGGAGGATCCTTTTGTCAAAAAGTCTCTCCTTTCAACATTTTAATTTCCACATAATTGTACACATTGATACAGTATGACATTTGGATACAGGCATACAATCTATAATGATTCATTCAGGGTAAATGGCATTTCTGTTGCCTTAAACATTGATCATTTTTTTGTGTTGGGCATGTTGAAAATCCTCTCTTCTAGCTATTGTTTAATCTATAGTAAATTGCTGTTAACTATAGTCACTCTGTTCTGCTGAAAAACACTGGAACTTACCTTTTTATCTACCTCTATTTTGATACTTATTATCTGCCCTTTCTATTCCTGCTACCCTTCCCTGTCTCCAGCCCCTGGTAATCACTATTTTACTCTCTGCTAGTATGAGATCAAGTTTTTTTTTTTTTAAGCTTCCACATATGAGAGAGAATATGCAATACTTTTATTTCTGTGACTGACTTAGTTCATTTCATATAATGTCCTCTAGGCTCATCCATTTTGCTGTAAATGACAGAAAAATTTTCTCCATGCTCTCAAGTTTCTTAAATCCCTAACATGTGAAAGCATCTTCTTTTCTTCCTTTCTCTGGTGACTTGTATGACACAAATAGTCTCTCCTACACTTCTTGTATGACACGAATACCTCTTCTACGCTTCTATAGTTTTGAACAGTACTGGGCCCATTTTCAGTTTCTTGTTCAAAAGAGGAAGGAACCAAGGTGCTGAGCTGCACCTCTGCTTGGCAGTTATCTTCCTTTGCACAAGAAGCATGGCGCGTGTTCTCATAGACCAGTTAGGAGAAGCTGAGCTTTGGCACCTGTCCATTTGATCCAAATGCATATCAGGTGTCCACTTTTGAGAGGCTAGACTGATTGCTTTATCTTCCCTTATGAAAAAGTTTAGTAGTAACAGTAGCAACCAACATATTCTTGTGGGCAGATCTTACCTGCTAGTCTTCCCTAGAGTTTATTAATAACCTGGTATTTGTTGTCCTTTCTGATTTTCCTGTGAGATATTGTGACATTCTTATAAGCAGCTTCTTGACTTCCTCTTTTTTGTACCAGGGATTGAACCCAGGGGCACTTAACCACTGAGCCACATCCTCAGCCATTTCTATTTTTTTTTTACTTTGAGACAAGGTCTCATTAATTTGCTTAGGGCCTTGATAGGTTGCTGAGGTTGGCTTTGAATGTGCAGTCCTACCTCAGCTTCCTGAGCCACTAAGATGTAGGTGTGCTCCATCACACCTGTAAGCAGAATTCTAAGAAGTCCCTTTTATTCTCCCATGAAGTGCCCTCCTGGACACTGAGCAAGCTCATCTGAGATACAGAAGAGCATACTCATTATATTTAGAAGTTTAAGTATAAATTTGGGCAAAGGCCTCCAGGTGACAGATTTCACATTTTGAACTTCATTATTTTAACTAACAATTTCCTCAGTCACTAAACAGCAGTACATAGTTATAATTAGGTAGAACTTGATGGTCTACAAAGATTTCATGTGTACAATAATATCTCACTCTTCCTTTTCTCATAGTTGGAAATAGAAGCAGGATTCGGGACAGTTTTCTACATGCTGTGAATTTGGGGATCAATTACAATATTTATTGAACACCTTCTGATCTTAAGGGATGCTTAGGCATTCTAGAGTATGTAGAGAAAAATGCCAACTCAATTGCCTTTGTTCTGGCTTCATAATATTTCACAACTCAAATAACCTTGATATTATTTTAAAAATAATTCATGCTAAGGTTGTTGCACCATTAAAGTGCATTTAGCTGATGTTAGGTTTATGGTTGACCCCTAAGTGATCTCAAGAGGAGAGTGGGGATGGGACAATGACAGTGCAGGACAGTGATGGCATCATTTCTGCCATTCCATTTCAACCATTTCTAAAGCAAAGATGACAAAGTACAGTATGCATTCAGGATTTCTCTGATGCTCAAGGAAGGTGTCAATTTTCAGTCAAGCACCTTTTTCCTTTGAGATAGGAAGTACCCTCAGAATTCTAAACTCTGCCTTTTGTTTTCCAACAGCATCATTAACCATTATTTCACAAGTAAAAATGTTTCTTTGCTTTCTCTTTATACTAATGCAAATGCAAATGAATTAATATTTTTTTAATTACTAAATGAATTGGACATACTGATGCACATTTGGAATCCCAGTGACTCAGGTGGTTGAAGCAGGAAAAGCCCAAGTTCTAGGCCAGTTTCAGAAACTTGGTGAGACTTCCAGCAACTTAACAAGACCCTGTCTCAAAAAGCAAAAAGTGCTGGGGATGTAGCTCAATGGTAGAGATATAGAGAGCCCCTGAGTTCAATCCCCAGTACCTGTCCCCCGACACTTTATACTATTCCAGTATCCCCCCCCCATATATAGTACCAGGGATTGAACCCAGGGGCACTTAACCACTGAGCCACATCCCAGCCCTTTTTGTATTTTATTGAGAGACAGGATTTTCCCTGAGTTATTTAGGTCCTTGCTAAATTACTGAGACTGGCTTTGAACTCATTATCCTCCTGCCTCAGCCTCTGGAGCTGATAGGATTTCAGGCATGCACTACTATGCCCGGC